ATGCCTCTTCTAGGTTCCAGGTGGCATAAAGTGCCGTCCCCCCAAGGCTTTCTTCCACCTCCAATTCTTTCCTCTTAGGCAAGATCTGGCCACAGCGACCCATGCATTTTTCACCTCCAGACTGGACTATTGCCATTCATTATATCTGGGGTTAAAGGTGCAAATGACAAAGAGGCTTCAGTTTATGTGGGATGTTGTGGCAGTGTACTTCCTCACGAGGACACATCCTACCTGTACTTTGATTTGGCATTTAAAGGAGGTGGAGGGTACAAATCCTTATAGATTAAAACCAAGGCTATCATGAGGTCAGGTCCCAGCTAACTCAGCGACTCTCTCTGTCTTGGACCTCTTCTGGGGAAAATGCAGCAGTGAGGCCTAAGATGAAGCTCATAAGAGCTGGAGATAAAGTGTCTGTGGTCAAGAGTGCCCTACACTGGAGTAAGTTACTGGAGGAGAAAAAAGTCTGAGCCAAAGCTTAGCCATCTTCAGAACATGCTGCAAGACCAACCTATTTGCCAAACACTTCCCACCATAACAGAAGACAAGAAAATACTATGATGAGTCACATGCTAAAAAGAGATAAGGTAAAAGGGACTCATTAAAAAAAACCAACAACTTCAAAAATAGATATTTGATTAATTTCACTATACATCAACTCATATTTAATAAGGTCTTTAAACTAGTCAGCAAATATATTTAGATGAGCGTTAATGAAAATCAAATGTCGTCAATTTTTCCCTTATTTTCCACTAGCCGTACTTACAATAGCTTCTTTGCTTGCATGTTCTATCTATTTTCTCTCCCTGACGTCACTCTACTTTTTCTTTCCTATAACAGATTGTGGCAGATGACTTCTTGACTTCTCTTTAGTGTCTCTGTCATCCTCTTTCCCTCCACATTTTAAAATATGTTAAATAGAAAGCTGATTGATGTTGTCACCAGTAAATACAGTATACAACAGTTTTATTTCTTTATATTAGAGAGGGCATGGCTTTGGGGGTATGGTGGCACAAGCAGTTTTCACGAATTGGTAATTAGATATAAAAATTTTTTCAAGCCCTAACTCCAGTGCAGCCCCCATGCCAACAAACTGGACTATTGCAATTCACTCCACATAAACCATTCAATGAAGACCACTTGGAATCTTCAGCTAATGTAAAGTTCTTTGATCCTTCAATATCAAGTTGATAAACACATTTTAGATACCTACAAGAGACAATGAGAATGTTGCATCCCTCTTACTGAATGGTGTTCTCTGGAGACAGTACACATTGCACCCGCATTACATGGAATGCAGTGAAAACCACTGTTTCCAGATTTTGAATTTTATTTATAAAGCCCATCATGATTTAGGTCCTGACTACATCTGAAACATCTATTATACGTCATCTCAATAGCTGACATCAACTGGTGTCAGTTTTGCTAAGAGTTCCCAGTTTTGAGTTCTGGGAACAGGAGATAGAATGTTTTTGGTCACAGGCCCTTGGCTACGTATTTGCCAAGAATCTAAATTTTCTGACGTTTAGTGCATGATGCAAGGCCTATTTGCTCCTATGGTTTCGGGGTCAGAGTGAGCTTCATTTTGTCTGTTTCATTATTTTTAATGTGTTATGTTTTAAAATTATTTTATTAGAGTCCTGAGAATTGATTCATGGGGGCATATGTTTATCAGTCTATAAACAAGGGCATTCTCACTTATATACTTGTACATGTTAAATTATAACTCAATATTTTGTTTATAATACTTAATCAAGAATAAAAGGAAAGGAGTACTTGTGGCACCTTAGAGACTAACCAATTTATTTGAGCATAAGCTTTTGTGAGCTACAGCTCACTTCATCGGATGCATACATCTTTTTGCAAATACAGACTAACATGGCTGTTACTCTGAAATTAGTCAAGAATAAAACACTGAAACAATGCAGTTTGACAACTATGCATACTCTCTTCTAATATACCAACACCTATGTTACTACTCAATGAAAGCCACTATTTAGTGAAAGAGATAACACTTTAGACCAAGTAAACTACATTGAACAGTATCTGATCGAAAAACAAAATTACTACCGTGATCTGATCTATAAGACTCACATGCTTGTCAGTGAACATTAGGCACATACATACAATCAATGCAAGACAGAAACCCTCACATCTGAATACTGTCATATGTATTCACATAACACACTTTTCAAAAGAATGTTTTCTGTGTTGGCAAATAGTATATTCAGGAAATCCACACTGTATGCAATTTATAGCTATATAATCCAGATAATATTTAATTTTACCAGTATTCCACTTTAGACTTTCCCCATTAGCTTCCTTCTCCGACGTGATACAAGATGTAATTTGCCTCATATCATATGCTTTAAAAAGATTCACTTTCCATGCCACATGCAAAGACTTTAATAATTGTAACTTCAGTGGAGCGGGGTGATACATGGGATTAGTAATCGATCACAGAGCCCTTCATCTCTAGATTACCAGTTCAAGTGTCACATAGATCTGTAGTGACTAAGTAGTTACAAGGTGTCAACTGCTTGGAAACCTGAATAATATGGATTGGTGGTCTCAGTCCAGATCACAGTGATGTGTCACAAAAACTATCACTCCAACTGACACCTTTGCAAAAGGCTCTGCAGACAGGCCAAATGATTGAACTTGCTTGGATTTACCCTCACACTCCTACAACAATCCCTCTGAGTAAGGACTGAAACACTTTAATAGCGCAGAGGTATCATGCATTGTTGATACTTTTGTTTTGCTTTTTTCTGTGGATATGCAAAGGACTAATATCAACCTGGCACCTTTCACAAGTTCTATAAGGTTTTCATATTTTTTCCTCGTTGTTAGAAAATCATTAAATAGAATTGTTAAAACTAAAAAAAAAAAAGTGTATATAATTATCTGGCTTCAATATAAATGTCCCACAACATCTCTACCTACCTGTGTCCCCGATCCTGCAAAGACTTACTTTATGCAATATGCTTCACTTTACTACCATTACTATTATTATTTACCATGAGTTGTCTCATTGAAATCAATAGAGTTACTCATGCTAGTAAAGTTAGGCAAGTGCATAAACATTTGCAGGTTCAGGGCCTACAGGCATTTCTAAAACGCTCAGACAAGTCTTGATCCCGAGCACACTGAACTCAATGGAGATAATCACATTGACTTTGAATCAAGCCTCCACACAGGGCCTAGGCCAGCGGTTTTCAAACTTTTTGAGCCGAGTTCCCCTCTTTGAGGTACAATTTTTGGGTGTGCCCTCCCTCAATACCTGTCCCTCTCGCCTTGGGTTTTCAGGGTGGGAGAAGGTGTGTGCGACAGTCTCTGGGGATGGAGCGAGAACTGGGCATGGAGGCATTGACACTGACCCACAGGCTGTGTGGCCTGCTGAGGTAAGTCAGGAGGTGGAGGTGGCACGCCCTCCCCGAGCTCCCCCACGCAGGACTGTCATTGCCGCTCACCTCCCTGAACACTCCTCTGAGCACCCCACGAAAACCTCTTGTGTAGGCATTGAGTAAATCTTAATATTCAATTAATATGGAAATTAAACATTTTTTTTAAAATCACCCATTTAATGCAGCTTACCAGAGCTACCTGTAACCCTCATATCCTAGCACTTCTTGGCAATTGTGTCTCATGTGACACATGGGCACTCATATGTCCAGCTTTACTCCTGAAAAATCTAAAGTGATGGTCAAAATTAAGTTACAAATCCCTCAACATCATCTGACAATAAATCTTGAGAACATACATTTAAGAAGGGGAATATTTGTGGGGGTTTTTTGTATTCTAAACCACCTAAAATGTTAGAAGACATCACCACATCCATTTTAATTGTAAGATTCCCATGACTTTGATTGCTTTTCCCAAATCCCTGATAAAATGCTAATTCCTACTTCAGAAAAATGGCTGTACCCACTATTTCAGAAACCAACAATCCCCCATAAAATGATACGGTTAACAAAAAAACAAAAAACAACCCCGCTTGTTTTTGTTGTTTACCATGCTAAGCACTAGTAAAGTAAAGCTCACACTACTTTCAATACTTGTTGAGTACAGAATCAGATTTAAAAGGGGATCACAGCTGTTAATGTTATAAACAGCAAAACAGCTCCTCATTTGCTACACCCATGACTTACCCCTCCTGTTTCAGTGAGCTAAGGAACAGCAGTAAGCCAACAATATAGCTCCTTGTAGCTAAACAATGGATTATTTTACATGTTGAGATTCTCTAGTTTATATCTTTCTGTGTATTACTGCAGTTTTCAATAGCATTTTTAAGCTAAAAGACCACCTCTCACCCAGAGGAAGGGGCAGCAGACACAATGCCCATCTCTGAGCCCAAGCCTGGAGAACAGGGTGGCATCCACAACACATACACCCACACCAGAGAATGGAGCAGCACCCACCACATCCCCCCGCCCCCCCATGCCTCACCCTGGAGAAAGAGACAGCTTGGGGCACTGAGGGGGTGGTGCACCCAGTCCTGAAGTGCACCCATAACCCTCACCCCCAAGGCTCCCCTCCTCCAGCCTTAGAAGGGCAGCACCTCTGCCCCTCCCCTATCACCCATGCCCAACCCCAGAGAAGATGGTGGCACTCACAGCACGCTCCCCATCTTCACCCCCCTCCCCCCGAGGTGCGGTGGGGTCACGGGTGCTGCCCCCAACACCCCAGTTCTCCCAAACCACGACCTGCTCCGTCACCCCACCACGGGCAGGGGGCAGCACCCGGGGGGCAGCACCCATGACGCACACCGCCAGGCCGCATCCCAGAGAGGGGGGCAGCCCGCCCCCGCGCGCAGCTTCTCGCTCCGGACTAGGGAGCGGCCGCCCCGCCCCGCCTGCAGCGACAGCCCGGAGCGGGAGCGGGACACCTCGCCAACGCCTCCCACGGGACCAGGGGCAGAGGGAGGCCAGGGCAGGGCCCTCAAGACCCTCCCTAACTGGGAGGGGGCCGGCGGGACTCCAGCCCCCCGGCCCGGGACGCACCTTCAGGCTTCCCTTGGCGGGGATGGGCAGCGGCGCGGGCGGGCTCCCCAAGCCGCCTTCCTCTTCATCCTCCTCCTCCTCCTCCACCTCCACCACCACGTCCTCGTCCTCCTCCTCCTCCAGCGCCGCGGCAGAGCCCTCTCGGCGGGGCGGCCTCCAGCAGCCGCTCTCGGGCTTGGGGACCCGGCCCCCGTCCGGGGCGGGCGCTGCCAGCGGCACGCTTCGCCGCCGGCTGCCCAGGCTGGATCGCTTGGCCAAGCGCCGCGCCTGCATGATACGGAGCCCGGGGCGCGCCTCAGCTCAGGGCGGCGGCCCCGCGCCGGCCACTCATAGACACCCGGCGGCGCTCACAGCGGGACACAGCGGCTGGAGGGGGCAGCGGGGCGGCGCAATGGGCGCGCTGCAGCCATGGGACAGGCGGGTGCAATCGGCTCGGGGGCGGGGGGCACTGACTCCCCAGTCCCGCGGCTTCCCCGCCTCGGCGCGGGCCTGCCCTGCCCTGCCCGTCCCCTCTGCTCTGCCCCAGCTGTCGGCAGCGGTGCGTTCCTGCTTTACTCGCCTCTCCTTGCAGGCAGCCCGCTCGTCCCCTGCCCCAAAACCCGGACTGGATTCCTCCCGCTCACCGTGAGCTCAGCCGGGCGCTTCGCAGGAGAGCAATGGCCATGCTCCAGCGCTGTCACCACCACGCCTCTCCCGGGGCGGGAGGAAAGGCACGCTGCTGCTGCTGCTGCTTGAGAAAGGGAGCCAGGGCGAGACGATTAGCGGTGCTTAACATTTGCCACATGACTGGCCCCGTGATGACACTTGAGGGATGCGGTCATTTAAATAAGCTCTTATAAACACTTAGGATTAGTAGATTCCCACCATTAATCAAAACCAAACAGTCATTCTGAAAACAATCATTATCCGGCAGTTACACCTTCTCAACCTAACCTCATTGCGAGGGGCATCATTCATCTGAGTCCCAAAGTGTCCCATATGTTATTTACAACAGAAATAAGGAATTCCGAATCAGTTAACTATTATACAGCAACGTGTGTCTCCATGTATACAGGATCACAGGAGTTAGAGATGGTGCTCCAATAAATTTGTTTTTTTCAAATCCACCCCCCTGTGCATAGAATATTGTTCTAGTAGACGATACAGCCTATATTACACAGATATAGCACTTTCATTGATAAACCACAATCTTTCCAGAGCAGGATACTTTGTTATTTTTAAAAGGACTCCCTGAATCAGAGCTACCAACAGTTTGAGAGGATAGCCCTTGGCTTTGCACACTTGTTCTAAAGAATTGGAGTCCTAACCAGTGTTACAGGACTATGGCAGCTATTAGCATCCTCACCTCTGCTGTCGTTCCCCCGCCCCCCCTCCCACTTCATTTTTAAATGTATTAACGTGCTGTGCTGTTAATACAAGTAACTTTCTTTTCTCTCTCTACCTCCTGCTTCTGGGTAGGTGGGGATTTACATCTTTCTCTAAAGCATTCTTGTACTTGTGATAGGATCTGTGAATAGACTGACCATCGCCAATTCTCCTATACCTACTTCTTATTCAATATATTTTCCAAAAAGTCTTGAAGTAAGTACTGCAAGCACTTGAAAGACTCATTTTGCTGTAGCTTCACACTCTTTTACCAACTATAATGCAATGCTGTTTTATTGCTTTACCACATGCTTAACAAAACACAGTAATAAGACTGTGATACTGCCAGATACACTGGCAAAAATTTGCTCAGTTGGGGATTGACAAGTTTGACAATAGTCATCATTGATTAGATGTGCAGTTCTCTCATACCTTCTGACATACACATGATTATCTAGCTTCTTACCTCTGTTGCGTTTAGTGGCTCAATGCTGATTTTGCAAAAGAGACAAAAAATAAATCCCTCCTCTTTTCACTTCTAACCACATACATTGGAAGGCAAAATGGACAGTGTAAATGAAGTCCAAAGACAGGTTTAAGTTTTGCTTTAAATGTGGGTTCCATCATGCCTAAGGCCTAAAAGCCTTGAAAGGTTAAAGACAGAGTGAATCCATATATACAGTACATTCATGTATTTGAATTAGGGCTATCAATCACCGTTAACTCAAGCAATTAACTCAAAACAAATTAGCTCAACTTAAATTAATCACACACTATTAAACAATATAGAATACCAATTTAAATGTATTATAAATATTTTTGGATGTTTTCCTACAGTGCTCAGGAAATGGTGGGTCAAAACATGAAGGGGCACACAAATGTTTAGCGTAGCTGGCAATGTAAATACTTTACAATGCTACAACAGTGCCATGTAAACACCTGTTCTCACTTTCAGGCGACATTCTAAATAAGAAGCAGGCAACATTATCTCCTCTAAATGTAAACAAACTTGTTTGCCTTAGTGATTGGCTGAATGGGACTTGTAGGCTCTAAAATTTTACATTGGTTTATTTTTGAATGTAGCTATGTAAAAAAATAAATCTGCATTTGTAAATTGCACTTTCATGATAAAGAGATTGCACTATGGTAATTGCATGAGGTGAATTGAAAAATACCATTTCTTGTATTTTTTTTTACAGTACAAATATTTGTGATAAAAATAATATAAAGTGATCAGTGTACACTTTGTATTCTGTGTTGTAATTGAAATGAATATATTTGAAAATGTAGAAAACATCTAAAATGTTTAAATAAATGATATTCTGTTATTGTTTAACAGTGTGATTAAAACTGCAATGAATCATAATTATTTATTTAATCTCATGTTTAATCATGATTAATTTTTTAATTGTTTGACAGCCCTGATTTGAATATCACAAATCTAATTTCTGATCTTCCATAATACCTTAAATCCACAGTATGGCTGTCTGTCGTATCCAACAATGATGTCACAACATCTTTTGTGGCTCCATAGTCTAATCTGTGAGGAGCAAGGTTGCAAACAGATGTCACATAGGAATGTGTAGGCGCCTGCTGAAGGCTCGGCATTAAGTTTGACCCTTTTTTCCAATCAGTTTTACATGTCTGTCTCTCTCAAAGTGTTGCTCTCCATTCAGGTCTGTCCTTAGTTATGTCTTCAAAGTTATCAATATTTATGTTCCATGAGGTGAGATTTTGCTTACATGTGTCTTTGAAGCATTTACACTGATCACCATTCCTGTATTTTCTAAGTTTTTGCTAGACATAGAGGATACTTTCAGGAGTCTGTCATAATATGATCTGTCCATCTAAGCTGAGTTTTGATAGTCATCGCCTCAATGTTGGTTGTTTTTGCTCTTTCAAGGATGTTAATGTTTGACTCTTTGTCTTGTCAGTGGACCCTCAGAAGAGAGCAAAGACAGCCCATGTGAAAATTTTCAGGTTGCTTGATGTGGCTGCAGTAAACTGTTCATATTTTGTATCCCATATAAAAGGGATGCTATCACTGCTGCATTATATATCATCAGTTTTGTTGAGAGTTTGATGGTATGTTGCTTGAGTGTCCTAAACCTTCCTAAAGCCTGACTTGCCTTTTGAATTCTGTTTTGATATTTCTTGATCTGTAGAACCATCACTTGAGTTGACACTGCCAAAGTATGCAAATTGATTGTCATTCTTTAATTTTGGACCATCAATGATTATATTTGGCTCAGGGAGCTGATTGGAAGAGGACTTCAGTTTTTTCCAGGTTGACAGTGAGTCCAAACTGTTTAGTTGCTTCTGAGAACCTGTCAAGGATAAGCTGTAGGTAATTTTCACTATTATAGCCTTTTTTATTTAAATTGAATGTAGTAATTTTGTATTCAACTACCATGAGTTTAGGTCCTACTGCTACAGTTTCAAGCACAACTGAATGAAAATTACGTCCGGTGTTTTTCTCAAATTTGGAGACTCTAGGAGCACTCAAAGTTGAAGGATAGTGACCACAGACATAATCACAAGTACAAAGTTTTATCTGCACTACAAGTTTTTTTTAAATCAATAAGTAAGGTTACAGTTACCCATGCATATAGAAATCCTACACAATAACTAAGACTGTAATCAAACTCACATCCTGAAAAATATTCGAGGACCCAATGGACCTCTCAATAGATAATCATCAATAGAGGGATGGTTCCTGCTGGTGTTTTCTGTGAGGTCAATTCTTGGGCTCAACCTTTGAGTCTTCCCACTTTTACCCAACTAGGGAATCTCTTATCTTGTTGTTCTGAGCATACATAACACCTTATGCATATGCATGAGGGTTTCAAACCTCTTTTCCTTATCTGTGCTTGTATATTCCATGGATATTGGGGTGTCCCAGTTTTCCAAGGTTGTTCTTAGTTCCTCTTATGCTCATTAGCACCTACATACAACATGTACCCTGTGGTCAGGACAGGACATTCCATGATGTTACAATCAGGTGTCTCGTGATTTCGACATTACCTTACCATTTATTGCAATCTAGTTTTTTTATAATGTTACCTTTTGGCACATCTTTTGCAGTAATCTTGTGACTTTAATGGCATAGGGTTATTCATCATTCACCCACTCATGTCAAGCATTGTTAAGCCTATGACCTAGTAACAAATCTATTTCGCACACATTGATTATTAATGAAATAGCATATGAATTGACCATAACATCACATACTACAATGATAAATGGATGATAAAATGAACTAATTGGCTACACTATGACTAGGTAGAGCAGAGTCATCTGAAAAAAAGGCTTCACATGTGAGGAAGTCCACAGTAGTTTAAATTATAAACACTTTATGAGGGATAGTGGGCCACATTCTGATCTCATTTGCACCGGTATAAGTGGAATAATTCCACTGAATTCAAATTCACTGAGTCAATTTACTGGAATTATTCAAGGTTTACAGTGATGAATCTGATATCAGATTCTACCCCTATGTGTTTTAGTTATAATTATACACTAGAAGGGAAATGGGAAAATAGATGGTAGGCAAATTGAATTCATCATGATCACAAGTGTAAGGTTAGGCAGCAACACATCTAGAATGTGAAGGACTAAATAAAGACTCAATTATCTGGCCCAGGAAAGCAAACATATTCAAATACTTCCATAGAGTTACATTCTACACTAATTTATGCTGGGGTAAAGCTAGAATAAACTGTTTTCTTCAATGTAATTTCAGAATACAGGTGTATATATTTAGACCTTCATTCAGACTGTTTCTCCTCAGAATTATTGTAGAATTCAGTGGGCTTGATAATTATTGTCTGTGCATTGGATTTAGACCAGTGAAACAGAGCAGAAACTGGTCTGAGATTTGTAGCACTTCCTAGCTGAGCCAGATTGGGATGATAGCAAGAATAGTTTCTCTCGCAGAATTTCATGTACACCTGGAGTACAGAAATAACTATTTGTTCCATTTCTCCCCTGCCCATTTCTCCTCCAGCAGCACCTGGAACAGAGTTTAACACAGATTTTCCAAGAGGTTAATTTAAAAACAAAAGTGATGTCCTAAGATTTAGAAGAACAGTTAAGGGATCATAAATGCAGTTTCCACAGCACTTCAAAATCTTCATTTTTCTAGGTCCACTAAGTGTTAGGAGTCAAATGTGTAACAGAATCCACTGTCTCCCAATCAACTCTCTTTCCTTACCTTAGAGTCAGCCTTAGCACTTGGGGGGGAA